AGTAGCTGTGGCGCATGGACTTACTTGCTCCATGGCATGTGGGATCTTCCCGGACCAGGGATCAAACCCATGTCCCCTGCATTGGCAGGCAGATTCTTAACCACTGTGCCACAAGGGAGGTCTCAGAAAGAATGTTTTAATTGATATTTAGAGGCCTCTAAACATAATACTGAGGAAATTGCTTCCCTCCAAGCTGTAATTAAAAATTGACTCAGGCTGTTTCTAAACTTAAGAAATCATGAAATTCTTTACCCCACTCCCATTCCCCTCCCAATTCTGCACCTTCTCCTCCATTCCTTTACCCACCTCTTTCCAAACTCCCTTTTTATTTAACTTACCCCCTCTCTTCTCTTTCTCCACAAGACACCCTCCTCCTCCTCCTCCATCAGTTAACACTCCTGAGCCTAAACCCCACTCAACCTCCCTGTCCTGGCAGCCCCTATTAAAACGAAGTCCACCTGAACCTTTTATTGTCTTTGTCCCATGGAGTAAACGTGAACTTAGGGCTATAGCTAAAGAATTCTGTGATTCTTTTTGGACCTCATTTCCTTTGCCAAACAATTTAATCTTGTTATACAAACCTATGAACCAAGCTATTCTGATCCTTATCAACTTATACACATGCTGGTAGGGGAAGGCAGAGCAAAAGAATGGCTTAATAAGATAGATTGGAAAAAACCTATAGAAGACTTCCAAAAGAAAACAACTGAAGATCAAGATAGGGCCAAAGGCTTAGCCAAAACCCTTTACTGGTTATTCCAGAAGTTTCCCCAAATATTACTGATTGAAACATATCCAACTGTGTACTCAAAACCTAAGGAGCCTGTACTTGAATTCTTTGAAAGATTTCAAAAAACTTTCAAACAGTATTCAGGGATGGAAAATGTTAATACCAACTCATGAACGGTTTAGATTAAGAACTTGACACTTTAGTTAGAAGGCATCAGTGAAATTGGACAGCCATGGATGCCCGTGATTTATGCAGTTTGGCACAGCAGCTGTCCAAGACCATACAAAAATAGCCAAGAAGAAGGCTACTCAAATAATGAGTTTACAGCTTCAGCAATTGACTGGCCAAAAAAGGCCAACACGCCTCCAGTCTTACAATGAAAGACGCTCCAACACAGAAGACCTTCAAAGGTACCTTTGCTATTATTGCAGAAAAAGCCTGGGAATTTTAAAAGAGCTTGCTATAAATTCAGAAAATCACTCAGAGAGAAAAAAAATCCTGCCAGCCCTTCTCCAAACAAAGGTCCTATGCAACTTCCTTTCTGTCTCACCTAGGGCTGCTCCAAGGAAATACCTGGGGTTTCTCCCTTTCTTCTCACTAACATTCTGGAGAAATTGAATTCACCATTGTTTGAGAGCAGACAGAGCTTTAATTCATACGGGGTACCACTCTTTCTGTTCTCAATCCCAGCACTTTGAAACATTCTCTTCTGTGGAGTACTAAAACAATTTCAATGGTGGGAGTTTCTAAGCACCCTATGACTGTTTTTAAATCTCAACCCACTCCATTCCAACTTGGCCCTGTCACAGAGACACATTCCTTTCTCCTTCTTCCTTCCACTCCTGTACACATCCTCAGAAGAGACCTCTTAGAGGTCCATAATGCACATGTTTCCTTCTCACAAAAGGGGGAAATGTTTTACATCTGGAAGAACATTCCAATCAACAAGGCCCTAATGACACAAATTTAGGCCCTGCATGTGAAGTGCCATCATTTTTCTCACATCAGTCATAACCCCAAGAAAGAATGAACTTGTACAAACACTACGGTCTCAAATCTCTGTGGATAGAGGGAAAATTCATTCAGCAACCCCAATCAAAATAGATGTAGACTCATCTTAACCCCTCCCCAACATCAAGTAATATCTCCTCAAACAGGAAACTATAAAAGGAATTCAACATATCATAAAAGACTATATTAAACAAGGTCTAGTGATTCCTTGCACCAGTCCTTGCAATACCCCCTTCCTCCCAGTTAGAAAACCTAATGGAAGAGGCATTTTGTTCAGTATTAAATAGCCATCAATAATATAGTCATATCCCGCCATTCAGTAGTCCTTAATTCCCATATCCCTTTATTTGCAGTTCCCACAGACAGCAAGGTTTTCACATGGCTGATTTATGTGGTACTTTCTTTGTTATGCCAGTGGATCCAGACAGCCAATCCTTGTTTGCCTTTACTTGGAATGATCAACAGTACACTTGGACAGTATTGCCCCAGGGATATATGGAGAGTCCTATTTACTTTTCTCAGACCTTAAAATCATACCTTGCAGATGTTACTTTCCCAAATGACTTCACTTTACTCCAATATGTGGATAACTAACTTCTTTGCTCTTCAGGCATGCAGGCTTCTCAAAAAGACAGCCTCTAACTACTTGAGCCTGCATTATAGCAAAAGATCAAATTGTTAATATTTATACTGATAGCCAGTATGCTTTTTTTTTTTAAAAAAAAAAACAAGAGACATCAGCCACCATGTCCCCTTTTTTTTTTTAAATTTTATTTATTTATTTATGTCTGTGTTGGGTCTTTGTTGCTGTGCGGGGGCTTTTTCTCTAGTTGTGGCAAGTGGGGGCTACTCTTTGTTTCGGTGCACGGGCTTCTCATTGCAGTGGCTTCTCTTCTTGTGGAGCATGGGCTCTAGGCCCACAGGCTTCAGTAGTTGTGGCACACGGGCTCAGTAGTTGTGGCTCACGGGCTTAGTTGCTCCACAGCATATGGGACCTTCCTGGACAAGGGCTCGCACAGGACAAACTATTAAGAATAGCCAATATGTATTGGACCTTCTGGAAGCTATTAAAATACTAAAACTTCTGGCCATTATAAATATCTCAGGTTAGTCAAGGCTTGGTTCAAAGGAAAGGAAATAATTTAGCCGATACTGTAGCAATGACTGCTGCTCTCTGACCCACTTCAAAAAAGCTTTAATTATTACCTAACCTTATGTTAGCTTACGGGATTTACTGGCAGAAACCTAAAACAATGTTCCTCCAGAGGAACAAGACAAATCTTATACCAGGGATGTAAATTTTGGGAAGATCATAATTTATGGTACGGGTCTAACAATACTCCAGTTTTGACTCATAGCCTCCAGGAACATATTATTGAACATACATGGGGGCCCAGATAAAATGATACGTGCAAAACAATGCTACTGAAAACCATCCCACAAAATAGCCACTGAAGTATATTTGAAGTGTAACATTTGTCCAAAACGTAATCCAGGTAAACCCATCCATTTCCCTAAAGATTGTTTTCCTTTGCCTTCAGGACCCTTTGAGGTATGGTTAATGGAATTTATCCAACTGCCACCATCTCAGGGATATAAATATGTAGTTGTACTAGTATGCATGTTTTCTCACTGGATTGAAACATTTCCATGTTGCAGGGCTATAGCACTTTTGGTAGGCAAAATTCTTTTGGAAAAAATAATTTCTACATGGAGTATTTCATCTGAGCTTCATAGTAATCAAGGAACTCATTTTACAGGGCAAATTATTCAGTCAGTCTGTAAAACTTGGCCTTTTATTCCCCCCCCCCCCCAGTATTTCCACTGTCTCTATCATTCACAGTCCTCCGGGCTAGTGGAACTTACATATAGAGCCATTAAGGCTCAATTGGCTAACAAGACATGGAAACAACCTAAATGTCCATCGACAGAAGAATGGATAAAAAAGGTGTACATATATACAGTGGAATACTAGTCAGCCATAAAAAAGAATGAAATAATGCCATTTGCAGCAACATGGATGGAACTAGAGATTATCATACTAAGTAAGTCAGAAAGAGAAAGACAAATACCATATGATATCACTTTTATGTGGAATCTAAAATATGACATAAATGAACTTATGTATAAAAACAGAAACAGACTCACAGACATAGAGAACAGACTTGTGGTTGCCAGGGGGCAGAAGGGGTTAGGGAGGGATGGATTGGGGGTTTGGGATTAGCAGATGCAAACTATTATACAATATATATTGAATAGAATGGATAAACAACAAGGTCCTACTGTGTAGCACAGGGAACTACATCCTGTGATAAACCATAATGAAAAACAATGTGAAAAAGAATATATATATATATATATAACTGAATCACTTTGCTGTTCAGCAGAAATTAATACAACATTGTAAATCAAGTATATTTCAATAATAATAATTTTAAAAAGACTTAATTGGCTAAACTAGTTGAATCTTTTAATCTACCATGGCCGGAAGCCCTGCCCCTGGTATTGCTCAGCCTAAGGTCTACCCCCTTTGGTAAGCACCGACTTTCTTCCTTTGAAATAATTATGGGAAGAACAATGAAAATATATAATGCAGGGGTTTCCCTGGTGGTGCAGTGGTTGAGAGTCTGCCTGCCGATGCACGGGACATGGGTTCGTGCCCCGGTCTGGGAGGATCCCACAAGCCGCAGAGCGGCTGGGCCCGTGAGCCATGGCCGCTGAGCCTGCACGTCCGGAGCCTGTGCTCCGCAAGGGGAGAGGCCACAGCAGTGGGAGGCCTGCGTACCGCGCGCACACACATACACACACACACACACACACACACACACACACA